GATGCTCCTGCCACCCCACCTCCCCTCCCAGGCTCAGACTCCACACTGCCACCAGCCCCAACCCCATTCTGCCCCCACCCAGCTGCAGCTCCTCCCACCTCTGCCACTTCCCTACCTGATGCCTGGAGCAGGCAGGATTCCAGGGAAGCCAAGCAGGTCCCTCAGGGGTGGCTGCTACTGCTGGCTAGGCCAGGCCCTTCCCCCCACAAGTGCAGGAGCAAAGCACAGTATGGTATGTTGGGGGGTGTATATCTGGGAGGAAGGGCTGGGTGGGGTACAATTCATTGGTGGGTGCCTGTGGGCTGGATGAAAGTGCCTAGAGGATCAGATCTGGCCTGCAGGCCGTATTTTGCCCATGCCTCATTTAAGGTATGAAATCTGTACGAATATTAATTCTGCCTATCAAATGTAATGTCTCACTTATGGTGTACTTTGTAGATATACTTCAGATGTAAAGTCAAATACTGAAATCTCAAATGTTCTCCATTTTTAACCTCTGCCGTAGAAGCCGTTAACAGGTACTTTTTCATTAAAATGGTCCCTTCAAGAGCTAGTTATAATCTGATATTCATGAGGTATTAAACACTGGCAAAAAAAAATACTCCTTTATTTTCTTAGAAGACCCTAAGTATTCAATATAGGAGTCCACCATCAGTTTGAACATGATGCTGATTTTTATTTTATTCCTTATTGTGTGTCTCTTCTGCTGACATGTCTGAAGTGTGTATTACATTGCAGCTGTAGCTATTCAAGTACTCTTTAGGCCCAACATTTGTGTTAAAAATAGTATTGTAAGTATTACTGTAATTTAGAAACATCTAATGGAAACTTTTGTTTGGACATTTATACACATACATTTTTTCCCGCAACACACTAGAGATCTGCTGCTTTGGAGCAGACTTGATTAATTGAGTCTGCTCTGCACGTGAGCTTATGCGAACTGCACTGCGCATGTGCAGTTGTATAAGTGACAAAATGCATGCACACCTTCTATGTGTTTCAGCTCAAAAGCGTGCCACCACTATTTTTTCAGTACTGACACATTTTGCCACTTATATGACTGCAAGCAACACAGTGCCGGGTGCTTTTCAGAGTGACTGGTGTTTTGGTGCTTGCATGTGTAAAAATGCCCAAACATTTTGCTGAAGTGTCAGCAATTCAAACACCCCAGTAACAATATTAGTGTATGAGTGCCAGAAACGAAAAATGACCAGTTTGTTTCATTGTCCAGTCTGGCTTGAAAATAAACAGCATCAGTACTATCAATCCAAAATAGTTAAATATCATGAGTCAAGTCCCCAAACTCCGAGACTGGCTTAAAAATAATAAATATTGGTTCTTTTTTATTTAATTTATGGTGTTGGAGCCTTCTGCAGTAACTTTTTCAAATAAAATTCTGCCACCAAAGGAGCTAGCAATGCACTTTTTGTTTTATTTTACAAAGGTGATGTTTTTGAGTAATACTGTAATTACAGAAGCATAGCACTTGGAATAAAATCATGAGAGTGGGCTTCACTGACATTAATACTAGAAAGTAAGGTTTTTAATTCTCTCAGATTTAGTATCCTAAGGTGTGACTGGTAACATAGGAAAAGATTTTTTTTGTTAATTTCACTTATTATGAAGGATGTAGAAGCCCTACCAAGAGGCAATTCCACTTAGCTAGGACTCTTTGACTTAATGCTGGGAGATCATAAGGCCAGAGAGCACAACTGGTTTATATAGTCTGCTCGTCTCAGAAGCTAGTAACACAGGGCACAGTTCTTAAGGTGAGTTAGTACTTCCACTTAGGGGAAACGTTAGGAGATATGCGCTGCAGCTCCATAAATGCTACACGCACAGACATGTACCGCCCCCCACACCCCTCCCCAAAGCTAGATTCTTCTCTTTCTCCCTTTTCTCAGGCTTTGTGATGGGAAGATCAAGTATTGCAAGAAATCATAGACCATGTTTTCTTTGCTTCAAAAGGTGTAGTATTTCAAAGGCATCTTGATTTACAGGGTAATATTGTCTTAATGTTTTTCTCCATATAATAGCTGTAACATTTGTTGTTCTAAGCACATGGTTCAGAGGGAGACTGGAATAACTCAGAAAAACAAGCCTGAGTGATAAAGTTCTAACTAAATCATATATATAGCATAAACTTTCATGAGCCCATGCTGATGTCACCAGATGCTAGAAAAGGAAATGCACATGCAGTTCATGCACAGGCTCTGTGCATGTCCTTTCGTAGTATATGTTGAAGTGAGTTCATGCTCATGAAAGCTTATGCTCTAATCTTTAATTTAGTTAGTCTGTAAGGTGCACATCTACCCTGCCTTCTGCCTGACTTCAGACTAATATGGCCAACTACCTCTCTCTGATTAAGTTCTGACATTGAACTACACACCAGTTTGGGGGGAGGAGGGGAAGGGGCCACAGTGAAGGGATGGAAAATCCTGCAGGAAGGAAAGAAAGCAAAGGATTTTTTCCTTTTTGTAGAATGTAGGCAAAATCTGATTCTCTTTTTCTGCAGGGTCCATAACCTCCCCTCAATCATATTTCCCAGTGACTTCTGTAACAACCCAGTAGTATAAGTAAGGATGGGTGAGCGAGTGGGGCATTTTTGTAAGTGGCTCAAAAATGGAAGCTGCTGCCACCACTGGGCTTGTCTATGGTTCTATGAAATGAGAGCATTTATTATTCTAAGACAGGGGTTGTCAAATTTGAAAGATCCCAGGGGGGACATGGGTGGGCAGGGACAGAGCACCACCAGCCCATGCTGCTGCCTCAGGAGCAGGGCCACACAGATGCTGCGCTGCCACCGCTCGCCACACCCCCGCTCAGCATCTGGCCACTTGCCACCCCCCGCACAGGGGTGCACTTATTAAAAAAAGGGTGAAAACCCCTATTCTAAGAGAAAGTAAGTATGGGCACAGAAGCCTAATGAGAATGGACTTCAGAGAAACCAATTTCAACAGACTTGGAGGACAGATATGTAGGGTCTCTGGGGAAGATAATCTGAAGGGTAAAAAAAATGCAGGAGGGCTGGCACTTTCTGAAAGTTACTACATTAAATACCCAATGGAGGAACATCCCCAGCAAATGGAAGACAAAAAGCAGTGTACGAGACCATTATGACTACAGTAGGAAATCTTCGATGGCCAGAAAATTGAAAAGGAATCCTATAAAAAGCAGAACCAAGAACACATACCTATGAGTGAACAGAAACACAAGCACGTAGGGATAAAATCAAAAAGACTAAAGTGCAAGATGAGATTCAGTTGGCAGGGCCATAAAAGGCAACAAGAAAGGCTCTATTTTATTCTATATATTAAGAGGAAGAGAAAATGGAGATAGAGGTATATTATGAAATGGGAAAAGAAAGCGTATAAAAAGTTAGAGAGAGAAAGCTGCAGTATTCAGTATGTTCTTCGCTTGTCTTCATCAAAAAGGTTATGATCAGATATTTAAAATTACTTCTTAGAGGGAGGGAGACAAGAGGGCATACTCTAGATATGGATAGAACAGGTTAAAGAATACTGAAAGAAAATAGATGCTTTCTAGTCAGCAGGGTGCAATGAAATTCATTCTTAAGAGCTTATTGAAGTAGCTGAACAAATTTGTAAACTCTTTGTGATTATTTTTGAGTATTCATAGGTTCTTCAGTCCCACATCCTCTTATCTTTAAAAACCAGGAAAAGGGAAGATCCAGGGAATTGTAAGGTGTGTGTAGATGAAATGATGGCCCTAAATTGAAGCGGTGGGTTTTAAAAACCACCACTTCAATTTAGGACTGATTAAACCCCTGTGTCATGCACACACCTTACCTGCCTCTCTGAAGGGGAGGGGAGGGGAGGGTGAGCTGCCAGCAGGCAGAGTGGTCCCTGGGCTGCAGGAGGGGCTGGTGCTTCCCTCTAGCAGCGATGCCCCCCCCAGGTGGCACCCACCTACAGGCACCTGGCTCAGGCAGTCTTGAGGGGCACTTCAGCAGTGGAGGGAAGCACTGGGCCCCCACGCAGCTCAGGCAGGCAAGCAGGCTCCAGGGGTGGGGGGAAAGATCAGGCTCGCACTTTGCTTGGGTGGAGCCTGCTTTCCCAGGCTGCTGCCAGGCTGCCTGCAGGGCTTCCTGAAGAGCCATGGAGCTGCACAGAGCTGGGTGCTTCACTCCATGGCTGTAGGGACAGCTAACTAAAGCTCCACTGAATTTCCTACAGTGGTTGGAATGAATGTGCAATACGCCACCGAGACTTGCAAACACTGACACCATTAAAGCAGTGCAAGGGCATTTAGCCCATTTTAAAGTGTCATGCATACATGCTTCTTTTTTCATCTATACACAGCCATAGACTTAACTTTATCCCTAGCAAGGTATTAGAACAAATTATTAAATAATCACTTTACAGGTATCTAGAAAGCAGAAAAGTGATAAAAGCAGCCAAGATGGGTTTCTCAAAAACAGACTGTCAAAGCAAACTATTTTCTTTTTTGACAGGGTAACTGGCCTGCTGCATGAGAAGAAGGGATAGATATTATAAATTTTGATGTTAGTAAGGTTTCTGACACTGTCCTTTGTGCCGTTTTCATAAGCAAGCTAAAGAAATATGATCTATATGTGGATACACACCCAGCTGAAAAATCAGTCTCAGGGAATGGTTATCAGTAACTCATTTTCAAATTGGGAGGGCATCTCAAGTGAGATCCTTCATAGGTGTGTTCTGAGCTCAATTCTGCTCAATATTTTTATCTGCCTCTCTTAGTTTTTGGCCTGTTTTCAGCTGCCTTTCTTAGTTTTTGCCCTGTTCTCCTTTTAACTCAATAGTAAACATCTCTTGTATTTCAGAAGAAATCTGCAAGGCAGAGCAGAAGTGAAGAGAAAAGCAAAGTCTGTAGCAGAAGTATTGGATTAGACACAGCTACTTCTCACCCTGCAGAAAGTGGAAATGCATCAGTTGAGTTTCATCTATCTCCTACTAAATCATGCTGGATCAAGGAGGAATCTGCCCAGTATGGAAGCTTCTCAGGGTTCAGCAGTAGTGATGGTGTGCTAAAGGAACTGGATGATGGACAATTTGAGCAGGAAGATGGCGTAACTCAGGTCACTTGTATGTGACCAAGTAAGTAACTGCATTGGAGAGACCTGTAAATAATGAACACAAATGTAAGAACTGAGATTACTACACTACTTTATGTGCATTTGTATAATCCTCTGGTTTCCTCCATGCTCATATCTTATATATTTTTGCTTCTGCCAAGTTACACTCATAACAAAACCTTATTTGTAGTAAGACTACTACTGCAACATACTTTGGTTTTATGTCTGCTTTAATGGGATGCTCTATTACTTGGTGTTTTGCTAACTTCATTAATGATATTTTCAATAATGCTTTTGACAACAGGCAAGAAAATATTATATAGATTAGCAGTGCTTTTTGCTGAGTAAAAGCCAGTGTCAATAGGAAATCTTAATATTTTCCACAAATGTGTGGAAAATCATGTTTTTCTAAGGGGGTCTAACAAACAACATTGGAAAGTAAAAAAAAAATTAAAAAATAAAATTAAGAAGTACTTTACTCCTTTTTTGTTTTAATAGAAATAATAGTCACTTCATTTGCCTGTTGTAAATTCAGAAGCCTGTAAAACAGAAATGTCAAATGTGGGACTTTCAACCTGAATGAGGAACAGCATGAAATACTGGTACCTGATGGAGAAGGTTACATTCTGGTTTGTAATGTTCTTACAAGAAAAAGCCTGGGAAGTGGGAGCATATTCTGTTTTTGTCCAAATTCAAATGGGGGGAGCAAGGAAAGGCAATCTACAACCAAGCCAAAGAGTATCCAAGCACAAAGATACTTTATGCAAAAATAGAAAAAATCACTCGCTCCCAAGCAATTATTTGCACCTCAAGAAGAGATCCTGCATACTGAATAAGGAACATTGCCGCTAAGATTATGGGTGCACTGTAATACTGCTTATATGTGAAGAAGCACTCACATGGGGAGACAAAATTTGAAATGGGGCTGCATACAAAAGCACTCAGGTACTCTTTCAGCCGAACACATATACTGTATAAAATGTATTCGTATGTTCACCATGGAGTTCCCAAGCATACTTGAGTACAGAGATAATTATTAAAATTTTGAGTCAGAGATATCAACAGGGGATTGCAGTTGGTGGCTTCAGGATCAAAAAAGCCTAACGCTGATGTAGCTCTTCTGAAAGTAGTGATAATAAGAATGTTTTTATGTAGCTGTATTGAAGTATTGCTTGATTCAGATGCTGTCTAATTTCATTTAGCATGATTAAGGCCTCTGGAACAAATATTCAGCTAATATTGACTTGCCTGTAGTTGAAGTAATAGAAGTCTGCTGTGTGGTCCTTCAGATCAGAGTTCAAACCATTAACACAGGAAAGGGAAGGGCTACTGTAGTTATATATCAAAGTATGCTTATTATTTCCTTTAAAAATGCTTATTGAAAGAAAGTGGTTAAGGTTACAAAGTCCAGCAGGCGCACTAGTCATGGTTGACTGCGCAACCTTAATTCGACCCCCTGGGGAGCATCCAGATGAGCACACAAGGCATTCACCATGCTGCAAATCAGCAGCATGCAGGGTTTTTTGACACCAGCAGATCCCAGTGTCGAAAAACCCCATGCCTTTAAAAAGTGGTGCAGCACACATAGCTGCAGCATATGCTGCCCGAAACTAGAGCCTGGCCACCCAGAGCCACACTCTGGCTGCCGGCCAGGCTATGTATGCCAGGTCTCCATCACTGGAGCCCTGGGAAGCCTCCAGGACCCCAAATATGACTGCTGGGACCAGCCCAGGTGCTGACCCCAGCCTCCTCTACCCAACCCAGAGCAACTTGCCACATGCCAGAGCACGTGTGCACAAGCATTCCTTGGGGACAAGTAGCAGTGGCACAACTATGTACCGCTGCTATTTGTCCCTGGGGAAACGCATGTGCATGCTCATCGACACGCTGCTGGTACCTATTCAGTATAGAACAGATTTTAATGACAGTACTATATAACTTGTTTTCTCCAACAGAATCCTTGCTTCAGTCTGTATGCGGCAGCGGAATTACAATTGTACAAGCAATGAAACAGCGTTTCCTAACTTTTGTAGAAGAAATCAAACTTCGCATTGTGTTTTGGTATTAGTATTAACAGACTCAATCTGAGTTTATTGGCGCTCATACCATACGATCGTAGGGAGATCTAAACAGAACTCCCCCCTTGTACAAGTTAACATACCTTTTTATACCTAAAATTGTTTAAACAAAGCATCCTTGAAAAGAGAGTCAAAGGTAGATCATAATAGTTGCTTGCTCAGCAACACATTTTGTTTTGAGAACTGTTATCACCTTTTTTGTTTTTAGGAAAGAAAGAAACATTCGTTCCCAAGGACCTGTGGATGGAGACATAATAAGCAGAAGGGTTTTTCTTATCTTAAAACATTTTAAAATACGAAGCAAGAGCTTTTTTTTTTTTCCACTCTGAAGTCAAGTTAGAGGCCTGGATAAATTTATAGTCAAGTTAGAGGCCTGGATAAACCTACTTCAACACTTTGGAATATATGACATAACCAGAATACTTTATATTTTCCTATGTATAAAATTTACCAAGAAGTAGTATAATTACTCCTCTGTTAAATTGTTACAAATACGATTGAAGGGAAAATAGCTCTGGCAAATGTGATATGGATTAACAGCTATTTTTACTGTACAGTCTGTTATATGGTTTTTCACGTATAAAGCAGTTTTACTTTGCTTATTTTAAGTTAGTCAATTTACTTCCTTTAATCTTCTGGATGAAATTTAAATGAAATATATTGCTTCTGGAAAAAAGAGTGAAAGATTATATAACTTAGCCAGATTTAGAATGGTTTCCAAGCAGATCAGCTGGTGGGATCTCAGAGCAGTGCTTCCAGATGTATAAAAAGGAACCATTTTTAACACTCCTAAACAAGGCTTTTGCTAGATCCATACTACTTGAATGTTGAAGCAGTGATTATTTAGAAGTGTTTTACCACATCTCAGTTTTTAGCAAAAAGGTTTGTTTTTAAACTGAAATGCAAGCCAACTCTCATCAGTCTGGTCTAGTCGGTAAAAATAAAACCCTATTACTGTCTAATTTTTTCTACCACCCCACCTGCTTTACTTTACATACTTTATATTTTACATCTCTTAAATATGATAATCAGGGTGGAATAGTCTGTCTGCTTCTGTGAGCCCTTTTCTAATACTATAAATCCATTCTACAGGTATTAAAACTATATATTATATCCTATAAAATAATTCTATAGCTTTGTTAAGGCTCTGTTGAATTCCACTCATCTAATTAGATAGATGATATATTTAAGTTACTGCTACTTCTGTAGGAGATTCAGTACATATAATGAGACGTGATTTTCCAAAACATTTACCCTGTATGCAAAAGTTCTGATTTCTTTCACTACATAGTCAGTAAGCATTCAGGCTTTCTTAATTTTTTCTCATCCTGCCAAAGACTTGCCTCTAGCCCTGGGGCAAGCAGTTATTTCAGGCGGAGGGGCGCTTACTGAGTTTTGGCAAGCCATTGAAGGCCGCATGACAGGCAGCCAGGAGCAGATAAATATTAACTTCCTCAATTTTTTAGGGGCCCTGCAGGCCAGATAGAATGGCCTGGCAGACCACATCTGGCCCATGGGCCGCATTTTGCCCACCCCTGCTCTAGCCTGTGAATTCCAGCCACAAACCTGAGATAATATGAAAGGCTAAAGTTTTTTAAAGGATGACATTCACTGGAAGATGATTTCATTAACAGAGACTTGTTTACCCAGTTGCATCTCAGGCTGTTCCAGAAAAACAAGTACAATACAACTCAAATTTCTGTAATGCAGGAAACAGAGTCAAGGTATGAATCAGTTCAGCCTGAATTCCACCCTTGGAAGTTGCTTGCTTTCACTGTATGAACTGTGCTGACTGGCAGAGGTTAATTGGCATAGTTTTGTAGAGCTGTGCTTGTGATAAGTGGGGCAGAAAAATGCATCCCTCTGCTTGGGAATCACAGCCTAGAACCTTCTGAAAAAGCAAACTGGCATTTTTCAAAAAGTAAGCTGGAGTCATTCCTTTTTTCTGGTTGAGACAGTAGCAGCACCCAAGATATGGAAGGCCTAAGTCTAACAAAGAGATTTAAACCCTTTGCACAGGACACTTCCCAGGTACCCTAACCACCAGCTTTTATATTGTTTTGTCTGACGGCAGTCTGCACCCACCCCTGTGGAAGGTGTTAAGCTGCACAGAAAGGAATTCAAGATTCATTGGACCAGACAGTATAAGCAGGAGAAAATCTTTGTAGCCTCAAAGCTACAAGGTAGAGGGAGACCTGAGTTCCATTTCCTGCTCCAAGGTCTACATGTTTTATGTAATGACTGTTTCACAATGATAAATTCTTAATTCCGAATTAAACTGTAGATTGCAAATTAAAATACCTATGCAAGCAATAGAGGCCAGTTCAATAAACCACTGAGATATACAACCCATGTATATAAAGGCCATAACCAATAAGGCTGTGCGAAGCTTTGGACACCAATTCGACTCAGAGGAGATTCGGCCCGATTCAGCGGCCAAATCTCTGAATCCGAATCAAATTGGAAGCCTCAGATTCAATTTGGAGAGATTCAATGATTTGGCCATACACACAGCTTTATATGGTTTTTTTCTATATACCTCAAGGTACCAGGTGTGGCTTATGAACATCGAGATGGTGGGGAAGATGCAGCATCCCACGGAAGCGGGGGAGGGGGGTACCCCACGCGCTTGGTGGTGGACCCAAAAGTGGACCAGAAGTACTTCTGGGTCTGCCACAGAGCGCGCAGGGGCCCCCCGCTCCCATTCAGCGACTAGTGGCTCCTGGGCTTGGCTGGGGGGACTCGGGATACCCAACTGCCAACCTGGGGAGATGCGGGGGGAGTCCCCCATGCGCTCAGCAGCGGACCTAGAAATGGACCGGAAGGATTTCCGGCCCACTTCAGGGTCTGCTGCCATGCACGCGGGGGGCCCACCCACACTCCTGTGAGACGCTCCATCTGCCTCACCATCTCAGCATTCACAAATTGCACCTGCTACCTCAAGGTATGTAGGAAAAAAAACAAAACACATAAAGCTGTGTCTATGGCTGAATCCCTGATTCTCTGTATCAGAATCAAATCTTCAGATTCAGCTGAATCGAATCAGGACAGTGATCTGAATCAGTGAATCAAATCAGTCCCCCAAATCAGAATTGAATACTGTCTGCTTTGCACACCCCTGATAACCAACCTCTCTCTCTGAACAAATGAGATTTAGAGTTTGGTTGCTTTCCAGACACTATTTGGGAAATGAGCCCTAGTGGCAAGTCATTTTCATTTTACATATTTATACCACAGAATCCCTCCTTATGTGCAACTTTCACTTCAGCTAAATACTCAAAGTGTGCTGCAACTCAGGTAGCCCAGGAGGCCTTTTTAGTCCTGTGTTTCTATCATATGTGAGTATTTAGGATCATACAATAGTAGGGCTGTAAGGGACCTCACAAGGTCATCTAGTTCAGTTCCTGCTCAAGGCAAGATCAGCCCTGAATAAGTTATCCCACCTGTAATAATTTACAGAATTACTAAAAGAAACAAGCACGAGACTTGCAACATTTTACTGACATGGGGATTCATTCTTTAGCCAAAAACCTCAAGTAAATAGTTAAGAGGTTTCTGAAGTTTAACTTTGTATGTGCAAACTTTGTGTGCAAACATTGAAGAGTAGCCCCTGTCTGTGCATCACAGTAGCAGCACACTACAGGAGCAGCAAGAGTGGCAGATACTTGGAAAACACCTAGAGCATTCATGAA